AAATTTATACCAGATACTGAGGCCTATAGTCTCTATTAGGTGTATAAAAATCAAGGTCCTGAGTCAACAAGATAAAAAGATATAAACAACATAAATAAAGGCATCATCAACATCATCATCAACAGCCTATACTAGTCCACTGCTGGACATAAGCCTCTCCTTAGAAAGGAGGCTTTGGCCTACTATACCACGCTGGCCAGACGGGTTGGTGAAGGGTTTGCTTCAAGTTTTCCTTCTCTTTGCAGTGCTGTTGTCCTGCTTAGTTTGCTCCCTTAGTCGGCTTTTACGACACCCACGGGATGAATTGGGGTGGTGACACTCCGTATTCTTAATCGGTCATCACACGGATGATACGTAGGCGAAATTTTTAATTTAAACTCAACAATCTACCTTACTAAATATAGTTTGCTCACTTCTTAATCCTCCTTAAAAAACTATTGGACCTTTTTTTAACGTTACTCTTTTGCTACAGCAGCGCTAACATAATTTAATATTTTTTTCAAACATAGAGACGGTTCCGTTTACACACTTTATAATCTGTGTATATAAGTATTTATATCAAACCAAGGACAAAGAAAAATGGTCTCATTTTCGTGTTACAATGACAATGTACTTTTTATAATTTAGTTTTTTCGTTTACCACAGAGTACATAATAATAGAATAACTTTATTACAAACCTTTTTGCTTTCAAACTCTTTGAAAGACACCCAATTAAAACTTAGCAAAAAATATCAAATACCTAGGTTCGATACTTCAAAAGCAGATAAGTTATAAATTCAGGTTTATTTTTTTGCTTGATATCTTATAACTCCATCATTTGAGAACCGGTTTTTTTTTCTTGGGAGGGTATATAACCTGTTTGGGACTTGTCTTTAAAAAAAGGTAATTAGTAGATTACAATTGGTCGTTATATTTGAAATAATTTCTTATAATATATCTCACACATGGCAGTCTGATCCCAAACTAGGCAAACTAGCCCTTCAAACCTTCAAGAAAAGAGCGTACTCCTTCCTGAAAGGCCGGCATCACGTTTGTGACTCCTGAGTTGCAGACGTTCATGGGCGGCGATGGTCACTTTCCATCAGGTGACTCGTCTGCTCGTCTGCCACCTTCAACATAAAAAAAAGAGCCTGTGCTATGGTAACCAGACTGCTGATAAACATACTTATATATTTTTAAATACATACATATTATAGATAAATTACACCCAGACACAGAACAAATGATAGTGCTCCATGCGTTTAAAAGTCAAGAAGAAATACCATCTCTAAGGGTGTATAATCAAGAAATAAAGTATACAGGATGCACGGATGGCGTAGTGGCTAAAGCGATCATCTCGCCGCTTCCTAGTGCGATGAGTGTTAAGGGTTCGAACCCCACATGGGACAACACTTAGAGTGTTCAACCAATTGTTGTTCTTTGTCTGGGTGTTCTTTGTGTCCGTTACATGAATGTTTGTAAAGGCCGTCGTAAAGTAAAGGACTACTGCGGCAATTGTCTTAAATAAAAAGAGTTTATTACAATTTTTCGAAAGTTTTCAATATATTTTTAGTAGTTTTTCAAGTTGTTTGTTCGTTTAGATGTTTTGATAACAATTTCAGTGTGTGTGTACACACTCACGCCTTTATCCACAAAAGGGTAGTCAGAGCCGTATTAAATTATTACTTTGTTTTTATTTTACATTTGTATGGTGCCTTTCATTGAGTGAGTGAGGTTACCGGAGCCCAAATCCCCCCTCCCGCTGACTCGAACGGGAGGGACTCCAAGGGCAGCAACGCACCTGTGACTTTTGAGTTGCAGGTGTCCATGGGCGGCGGTAGTTGCTTACCATCAGGTTACCCGTCTGCTCGTTTGCCCCCTTATTACAGAAAAAAAACAACTTCTCAAATAAATAAAGAATTTACAAAATCTGTTCACAAATGCAAAGCAAATTAAGAATCTGTTCGTTTATTCGTAGTTGGTTAAAAATTACTAACCTTGGCATAACGCAGACATTTCTGAGACAGCCTTTTATTCTTATTGATAATTGTTGAGTAGTTACTTTCTTGCTGAAATTAAATAAAATACTACTTAAAAACAATTCAAAATCATTGTAAATCTTACAATCTACTAATAGGTATTTAACGTCTAATGCAGAGATTCCCAAACTATTCAGGGCAAGAGACCCCATTTTCTAAAATGAACTGATATCTCAGACCCCCGTAGCTAAATTACAGCACGCTTATCGACTTGTTGAGGTTTTTAAAAGTACAACAATGATACTTCCTACTAAAATATTAGTTATTCTTATGACAAGTTGATACACGTAACACAACTAATACGGTATTTTCAAAGTTTAAATTAAAAATTTATGTTAATTAATCATCAACAGCCTTTAATAGTCCACTGCTGGACATAGGCCGCTCCTTAGAAAGGAGGTTTTGGGCCTACTATACCACGCTGGCCAGACGGGTTGGTATAGAGTTTGTGTCAAGTTTTCCTTCTGTTTGTAGTGCTGTTGTCCTGCATAGTTTGCTCCCTGAGTCGGCTCTTACGACACCCACGAGAATAATAAGGGTGGTGACATTCCGTCTTCTAAATCTGTCATCACACGGATGTTAATTAATAGGGGTCGATTATTAGACCTCGTCGTATCCTAAAATCAGTTTTCGTTTATGTCGACCCCTGGGAAATCGAAACGACCCCGAGGGGTCGATATCGACCACTTTGGGAATGTTGTAATGGACACAAGAAGAAGAAGATTACTTTAATTTTATCTAAAGCCCTTTTGTATGTTTTGATCTTTTGATAAAATAATAATAAGATACTCGTATTATAAAATATGACCAAAGGCCGTCAATGCGCTTGTGACTCCTGAGTTGCAGTTCATGGGCCGCGGTAGTCACTTTCCATCAGGTGAACCGTCTGCTCGTTTGTCTCCTCTTCCATAAAAAAAGACAAAAAGTTATTCCAACTAGATGGCGTAGAAGTTTAAGCGGTCGCCACGCCGCTCTCTACTGCGTTGAGTATTGTGGGCTCGATCCCCACATTGTGTGATCCAAAAATTGTTGTTCTGAATCTGGGTGTTCTTTGTGTCCGTTTCATGTATGTTTGTAAAGTTCCCCGCGATTCAGGAAATATATTCCAGTTGAATTGAACCGAAACTAAGTAGAGCATGTACTGTGATAACCAGACTGCTGATAAACATACTTATATATTTCTAAATACATACGTATTATAGATAACTCCACCATCGACCTTAGGCTTAGTACTCAGGCTCACTAGCCACTGGGCCATCAGGCCCGTTAACATCTCACACACGACCGTCTGATCCTCCGGGGTGGGAATGAAACCCACAACCTCTGAGTTAGCAGTGAGGATCACCAATCCACAAGACTAACAAACCGGTTGGTGTATATTCTCTTTACTAATATTTAACAGCATGTTATGTAAGTTTTAAAATACATTAAAAATCTATATCCTACTTGGTAACCACTTAGCCCTGAGCCGCAATTGAAAAAATAATCGGCGAATCCACATCCCACGATATCGTTAATCTCGTGGGAAAAATACAAATATTTTTTTTATCTTTTTTCCCTTTCAGAAGATTATCGTCATGAGGAATGGTGATAACGAGGACCATATCGCGGCCATCTAAGCTGTTTATCACCAGCGTATCAGGTTTTCGCAACAATTCTTCTATCATTGATGGATCTTTTATTAATAGTGTTGTGGATAGTGGTTGTCAGGTGACATACTGTCATGGTAGCCATTTCAATTACGATTCTGTTTTTATTATTTTGATGCATCCACAGAATCATACGAAAGATCCAAGTTAATATAAACTTAGTTCATAAATCCAATTTTAAAAAGTGCTCAGAAATCGATATTAAAAATAATGTTGGCAGCGTATGGTTTGTATTACACCTACACAATACTAAAAAGACTCACTATAATATCTAAAAAAAATATTTCTACCTGTAAGGCCCCTTACGTTTAAACCAGTTCCTACCTGAGATAGCCAACAAAAGGTATCTTCAGTGGTTTCCTTCCTGGGTTTCAATGATAAAATGGATGATACTTAAAACAAAACTATAACGCAACTATAGATGTAAGGCCAGTTTAAAACCCAGTACCTGGGCCTTAATTCTGCTATTTTAGTCTGTCTGTCACTGTCATACCACTATCAATCATTTCTTCAAAGAAACGAAAAATATTTTCAAATTATAAGGAAATGATTTATTTATTTTTACAAATATGGAAATCTTTTTGATATCACCACTGATGAGCCACTGCCATTCCATCGCCACTGTAATGACACTGATTGTGAGTTAGTGTAGACTACCGATATTTATACCGATGCCAATGGCCACTCGATGGCATCTCAATAGCGTGTCTGTGGTATGACAGTGGCTTAGCGTGAACATAAAATGGAGAATTGAGGCCCTGGATGGCAGAGTTTTGCTCGGTATTTTTTTTAGATCGATTAATCACCCCCGAAACCCCCTGCATACTAAATTTCAGGAAAATCGTTGGAGCTGTTGCGGAGATTCAGTACAAGAATTGCTTGTTTAATTGCTTGTTTATTTAGATTAAACTAACCCGTTTAAAACGACAAAAAAACCGTTTAAAACTGAAACAAGCAATTTTTTCGATTTAAAACAGTTGGTGTTGATGACTATGTTTTAATTTGTTATGTTTTAATTATTTAATTAATTATAACTACATTTTCTTGATTGTACCGAGGTAAGGATCCGACCTATAAAGTTTATAGGTATTCCGTCATATCCCTACTTACCCTACACATATAAAAAATCTTTACACAGTTCATACTATAAATACACGTGTGTTTATAGTATGAAATAGTAGGGACCCCCTTTCTTTCTTCTCTCAAAAGGGCGTGCGTTCCCGCCCTTTGACTGTTGACTCGCAGAGAGAGGGTAGGGGGTTGGAACCGATGGTGTCTCTTCCGGTGCACTCCGCTCACTCTGGTCGAGCAGACCCAAATGTGCTACACATGTTAATAATTCTTCTTCACCAGGATTCTTACCTTCGTCAATTTGTGTCTCTTCTCTAAGTTATCCAGTCTCTTTTCCATCCATTTCATCTTGTTCTTGAAATCGCTTGCAATACATTTGCAAAGATTCAGCGATTCACCAAATATTTTCATTTTACATTTGAACTCATCAAAGTCCAAGCGTAATCTACAAAGGGGAAAAAAAATTGATAGTTTTAAAATCATAGCCACAATTTACAGGATCTGTCATTCAACAGAAGCCATGTATTATGTCTTCTCCTAAATTTATTTGAACATAGTCGTGTGTGTGTAATGACGGATTAAAAACAAAGTATCACCACCCCTATTCACACCGTGGGTGTCGTAAGAGACGGCTAAGGGAGTTAACAGGACAACATCACTGCAAATAGAAGGAAAACTTGAGTCAAACCGAATACCAACCCGTCTGGTCAGCGTGGTATAGTAGGCCAAAAACTCCTTTCTAAGGAGAGGCCTATGTCCAGCAGTGGATTAGTAAATACTGTTGATGATGATTGAAAAATCGTGGGCGAAACATGCTTCGACAAATTGGACCACTCCCTCCCCCCCCCTGCCCGTCAAAACAACGAAAGATTTAACATCTTAGTTCCAGTAGTTCCAAGCATACTTTGTTGTCGGAGTATGCTTAATAATTTCGTGTGCCTACTAGGGATGGAATATCAGATGTGATAAGTCATATGATTTACCAATCATATTATCACAACGGTGACTGGTTTACTAAACCACTGCTACTTAATTATTATTATTACGCTAGCGCAAGACTCGGGAAAGGTCTTTTTTTACAGATTATTAATCTTTATAATTAACTAATTGGAATTCTTAAAATTAAGCTTACCTTTGGGGATCAGCGCTGAAACAAGAAATCTAGTCAATATTGCATATTTTAACTTTCTCCCGAGGGCTAGAAATTACCTAGTTTAGCCATTTTTCTTACCTAGTTTAGTTGGCAACGAGATAGGGAGGGTCGTCTACCCGCCGTAGATGGCCCGAGGTACGTCGGGGCACCAGGGATTTCCTTTCTAGGGTACACCTGGTTCCCCAACTACTGGTACCTGAGACGGCGTGCGGTTTTAGTCGGTTCGAGTCCGACATTGCCACCGATAAGTGGTATCCGAGGGGATTTCCGCACAGAAAAAAAAAGGTGGCAACGAGAAGACGAATGACCTGATGGTATGGACACCTGTAACTAAAGTCATTTGAGACCCCTAAAAGAATGAGGCGAGGATTGAGCCTCTGGTAACCAGTGATAAGCATTGCTGAACACCGGCTTATCAAGAGGCTCATATGCGCTAAAGTATGGCACGGGCTGAACAGGGGTGGTGATACTCCGTAACCTTATTCCGTCACCACACGGATTCATGTAAGTCTAAGTCCAACTTTGAACATTCGAAAGTCGACTCTCTTAGTGATATTGGCGGGAGACGAAAAAGAGTGATAATTTCTTTCCTAATTTTTCTCTGTCATGCATGCACAGGGTTTTGGCTGATTTCAATGATCTTTAACGGCAGATCGCTTGCTTGAAGACAATCCTCCTAGGGAAAATATTCTTTTTTAGACAGGAAAAAATAATGATGAAACAAACCTAAACCAACCCGTCTGGCCAACGTGGTATAGTAGACCAAAACCTATGGCCTAGTCATATATTTCATATAGTTTACTATACCGTGGTATAGTAAACTATATGATGATGATGATGATAAATATGGTAACTATTGTGAAGCCTATGCTTATAAATACCTGGTGATAGAAGATGATATAGAAGTAAGAGAGATAGAACCAGTTACATCAACAATCGATCGAGTAGGAGATATTATGGCTTGTGCATATAGTTTTGCTTTAGTACGTCCGTGTTCTTGAGGAATGGTAAACACTTCAGATTTTGCAACGATACATAATTCACTGGACCCTGAGGAAACACTCCCCTGGCTATCCCTTATTGTCTTTATTTTCGAATCTATGTGATCTAGGGGTCTTTGTCTCTCTATAAATTTTTCACTGCTTAGTTTTTTATTCTTCTTAGGTTTGAAATTGAGTTTGCTGTCCATTTTTGAGACAGAATCAGACGGTTTTTGGTGGAGAGGCTTCTCTATTGAAAATATGTGTTTATTTGTTATTGGTTTCTGTTCTTTGATTGGTTTAATGCCATTATGTGACAGATTTATGACGGTACAGAAGATCATGTCGTGTGTGTCATATTTTTAACATGTTATGAAGATTATTTGTGAGTATAATGCATCTCTTTCTGTCATGGAACTAAAAGGTAACAAAAAACGAAAGAATACGATACAAGGTATATTACCCGTAATAAGATTTTTTGTTCATTGTTCACGTTTTCAGCTGAAACTCGCTTATTTATTACCTTAATGTTTTGAGGAGATATTTTTGAGACTTCAAACTTAAAGAAAATGCAAAAAAAAACTTTTTTTCGACTATCTAGGTGTATATCTCCCCTTTAGTTACAAACACACGTACAGAAGAATTATTTTTAAGTTAAAGAGTTTCTTTGGTTAAACGCCCTAATATCAAGCATTACTTATATCACGGTACTATTATAATACAGTACTCCAACTTCATACAAACGGACGAAACGCGAGCTATACCTACGCGCCTCGATCTCGGGGTGCGCTCGGGGCGCAGACAGTCACGGCTGTAACGCAGTGTCGAACGGACTGTGTGTTGTTTTTTTAACAATAACCGCGCGATTTTTTCTCTAAAAATCAGTTAATATGACGAGTAGGAAATATTGTGCTGTTTTTGTTTGTATGAATTCGTCAATAACGCATCCAGACATAAGTTTTTTTAAATTACCTGGAAACTCTGAAAGGTGAGACTATAAAATAATTTTACTTACTAGTAGGTAGGTACATAATGTGTGTCTTTTTAATGGATAAGTATTTCCTTTTATCTCACGAAAAAAAAAGGTGTTTGGATTAATAAATAAAGCGAATAGAGTAACGGAAAATTATTGAGACAAGTGAAATAGGTAGTGTATCAAAATGTATAGGGAGTGAATCAAAAAACAACACGCATTTTTATTGAACACTTCCTATTCAATATACAAAGGATTTCATTTATTTATATAAAAAAGGATATTTACAATCACAAATCTAAATAGAAACAAAAAGTAGGCAAATATAATTAAAATGCTGGAGACGGGCAGCCCTAACGCATGTTTACGTACCGCGCGGCTGTAGGCATTTATTTCTATCATGCGGCCGAGTTACAGTACTGTATTATAATTGTACCGTGCTTATATGGTGACCCATCCACTTGTTTGATCTCCTATACAATAAAAAAAGTGTGTGTGTCAGCTCCGACGCATGACGGGAGTTCTCCACAGAGTACAGTAATAGTTTACTTTTTAAAAATGCATACCCTGTGTACGTACAAATTTACTGATCAGCGCCATCTATGTAAATGTTAGTAAAGTAATTAGAAGTCACTTTTTAATTGAGATTTATTTTGGGGCTTATTTCGTTTTAAAATAATTTAAATTTTGTAGTATATGTTACTTACTCACGAAACTGAAACAAATTGCGATTATAGAACTAATAACAAATTCACGAAAAATATTATTACGTACAAGTACAAGTACATCTATAAATTACATTTAGATGTAAAAAACGTAACGAGGTCATCCGATCACTACATTTTACTCTTCATATTTTTTCATACACAGCTCGTTTTATGAAAATCGATTCTTAACCTCTTGTCTGTTGAAACACCGGCTCCCGGTATAAACACATTTTCGCCGGAACTGTTGACATACCGGGAGCCGGTATGGGTAAGTGTGTTCTCATAATCGCTCTAAAGCACGTCATTGTATATACCCTATCCTTTCTAACACGTTACAAATGCATAAAGAAGAAACAGGCTGACTAGTGAAGCCAAAATCTCGCGCAGCTTTAGTGAAAAAAATGTAAACAAGAGTCAGTCAAAACTCCGCCATCGCCTAGGTGACTACTTATTTTTTGTGTTGGTGAAAACTTGTGTTTTGTCTTGAAGTGATTCGCTGAATATTAGAAAAAACGATGGAAGGGTAAGTAATTATTGATTATGTATGCAAATTATATAATAGTTCTGTTAATTTTCACTAAAAATCGGTCTGTAACTATCAGCATGTTCAATGTCGAACACGTGACGGCGATTATATTGTCGTCATATTTCAACCAAAAATGGATGAAAAGGCATGTTGATGTTAGATCTAAGACGTAAAATTAATTAGTTTTGATATATTTCATAGGTAGCATTATATTTCTTTCAAAAACATGAAAATATGTAATGAAAATGGGAGTACATAGTCTCATACCGGGAGCCGGTTACGTCAACAGTATACGTTTGACATTTATGGGCAGCCATGTTTTTTGTGTTTCTGGGATGCTTCCTAAGTATGGATATGCCTCAGAAATGTTTTTGTATGCATTAAAATTTTAATTTATTTTTTATTTTTGCAATTTTTTTCATTATCGGTTTTTCTTTTGGTTTTTGTATTGAGCAAAATTATATTTTTAGTTATTACGATACTGGTACTGATTTTCATATTTTCTAAGGATTCCTCCAGACGGGGCTTCATCTTCATCATCAGCCGTCAGGGCTCCTCCTTTGAGGGACGAGGAAATTGCCCGAATCTTGAATCATGGTAAGTGAATATTTTTCTTTCAGACCTATCTTTTAGTAGTATATATATATATCTGTTTACATAGGTAAAACAGACTACAGTATATTATTATTATTTACACAGGCAGTGAAGAGGATGCTGACAGCGATGATGAAGATGAAGATTTAGTTCAGCCAGTGCATCTGCCGAGGAGAGCTGAAAGACTTTTTATGTCTGAGGAAGACACTGAGGTGCCACCGATAAACGCTGCTATAGGCTTTGAGTGGCCACCTCAACTTCCCTCCGGCCTGCAGCCCCAACCTAGCGCCCAGCCCGAACCCGAACCCAACGCCGAGCCTGAACCCGGTGCCGACCCCGAAGCCAGCGCCGAGCCATACAATAAGTTTGATTTTAAGTGGAGAGGGTTTTCAGAATCTCAAATTCCTCCTGAATTGAGAAAGGAACCATTCTCCGAAATTAATTGTGGTCCCACAGTTCCATTGGCGAGCCCATATGTGTGTTCACCTGCTTTGAGCCACATCACACTTAACAGTAACACATCACACAAACAGTATACCTATACGCACAGCTACTCAGGAACACACAGGAGTCTGAAACGCTTTATGTCGCCAGTTCAGTGGGAATTAGGAAGGTAAGTATATTTGTCCAAATCGTGAAACAGTAAGACAATTAAGGCTGTATATGTATATTTATGTATTTGAAAGTAATATTTTTACGTATTTATTTCTTTATTTACGTAGGTTACATTTTCATTAAAAATATCTATCTATCTATCTATATTTATTATTATTAGCAATATTTTGGGTAAAATATATAATTGTAGTTCCCTCGGTTGCGTCATTCGTTTGGATTACAGTCATCATTATTTGAGAGTGCGGCCAACCCTTTTAATCTACAAGAAATATCAGTGCTGCTAACCCTTGTATTCTACAAGCAATATCCCACGAAATCAGGGACTATATTTGATCTTATCATTAGCTATGACTGCAATATTCATTTTTTGAATTAGCAAAAATTTATAAAAGTACTTATACTAAATGTGTAAATATCAACTACTCAAATGCAGTGGTAAATTTATCAAAAAACGTTAGATTTAGCGTTGAAATCATTCTGTTGGCAGCTCTCTGGTTAGTACTTTGGTATATGGGCGTTTTTCAAAAAAACTGACCGTTACGTTACCGGAATGTGACCGGAATCCACTTTTTTGACCTATGCAATGTGTAACATATTAAAGTGCAAAGCTCATATACCCCAATTAGATAAAAATGTTTTGAATGTACGTTAGTAAAAAAACAAACACTATACTCGTGAGAACCATACCTTGAAAATATGTTATACGATAAGTCGTATCCATACTTTTTTAACCTCTCAGGTACCAAAATGAACCATTTTTTACTACTTTTATCAACTTACATCTTGAAATATTTCTTAGAACTGTATTGTTCTGTTGATTTGTTTTGATGCTTTAATCTATCTAAATATTAGAAAATGTCTAAAAATTCCGTTAGTTGCAATATTTTTTCCAAAAACTATGTTTTTAAATGTATGTAATTTTTGACCCAAATTTTTGAGTTATTTTTGTTTAACTCCTACTCAAGATATATGTAATATAGTGCTGCGATACTTTTGTAATACATAGTTTATAAGCTTAAGTTTCTAATAAACAAAGCATCTTAGTCCATATCGGCATAAGTCATTTAAAATTAGGTTGAAATATTATACCCACTTTTGAGGACTTGTTAAGTGGCAGTTCTTTGTGACTATATTAAGAACATGTGTTGTGTAAAAAATATGTATGGTGGCACTTGAAGTTTGAGTTGTATTTTATACCTAATGTGATAAGTTGTAAATAAAATATTTTATGAACTTCCAAATATTGTTGTAATTAAAATTATAACCGAAACTTATCTAAATATCATAGTACCCTATGTTGAAAGTTCTATGTTAGCTATAATTGAGTATTTATATAGAAATGGTTGAAAGTGAATAAAGATTATTCAATTTCCAATAAGATTTTTAACTTGAATTGACTTGATTCCAACTAGATACGGAGAAAATCCAGTTACAGTAAAAGTCTATCTCAAAAATGGGCTGTCTGTTGACCATACCGGCTCCCGGTATAACAGGTAATGCAAAATGGGCTAATGTCATTCAACATACAAGAGGTTAAGGAGTAAACTCCAAAAATTATGAAATCATTTAAGTGGATCGGAGTATTTTTGTTAGTTATCTACGTCAGAACTATTACGTCATCATTTGAATTTTTAAGCGTGCTTACGTCAATCGTCGCCTATAAATGTTAATCTGAGTTATGCTTTATTAATGATGGTTTAAGTTTAATACCTTTTTTTTTTTTCCGTTCGGAAATCCCCTCGGATACCACCTGTCGGTGGCATGTCGGACTCGAACCGACTAAAACCGCACGCCGTCGCCGGGTACTAATAGCCGGGGAAGCAGGTATACTCTAGAAAGGAAGTCCCTGGTGCCCCGACATACCTCGGGTCATCTACAGACGAGTAGACGACCCCCCCCCGTGTGGGAACCCCATGTTCCCTGTGCTCCCTGGAAGAGAGCGCGCTTCGCAACGCGCTCGCCGCCACCCCGGCCTGCTTCTGCTAGGGTGACAGATGGCCTCACCTGTCACCCACAGGCCTGCGCTTATGGAGGACGGAGGTCGTTCTGCGACCTCCGTCGCCTGAGTCGCCTGCGGTGCCTGGCCCGTTCCCGGGCCTCGCGGGCCGGGAGAAAGTTTAATACCCTAAGGGAACATCCATAAATAATGTGGATTACACTAATTATATTGTTCAAACTCAAACTCTCTTTATTTCATAAAAAAATTAAAATTGTTTGAAATCGTCTCGTCATCGTCGATCATCGTCTAATGTGACTCTAAAGTCCTAGATCAACACACAAAAGCAATCAAAAAATCTCTGTTTTGTCAAATAGTAAGAAAAAAAAAATCACAAAAACCAAACCCATACAAAATCTATGATATGCCTGTGCTGATCTACAACCGCCTGTTTCCAAGGGGTTGAGCCTTATGAGAAGAAAGGGCAAACAAACTCATGGATTCATTGATGGCACTTGGTGGAACTTGAAAATTGCAAATAAATATTGTGGAACACTACAAGTGACTTCATTCAATACCTAATGGTCTTTAATAGTACAGTGCTGGACATAGGCCTCACCTTAGAAAGGAGGTTTTGGCATTTGGTTTTAGTTTAGTTATTATTCCACGGCGGCCAGACGGGTTGGTATAGCGCTAGGAGGGGTCCGGATGTCTTAATAATAGCAGTTCCCGGATCACTCCTATTACAGGCGCAGAGTGGCACACCGTGTGGTTTGACGCAAACCTGTAAACCCCGGTGTGATGACGGCCTGAGGGATTTCTATACGTACGAGTAAAAAAAAGGGTTTGTGTCAAGTTTTCCTTCTCTTTACAGCTATTGTCATGCTTAGTTGCTCCCTTAGTCGGCTCCTACGACACCGACGGGATGAATAGGGGTGGTGACACTCCGTATTCTTAATCCATCACCACACGGATAGTCACTTAGTAACATCATATGTATAGATTTTGCTAGGCAGAATTGAACTGTCAAGTGTCAATTCTTTAACTACGAGTACATACAAGAGCTCAGAGCTTTCACTATAGTGTCATCATCATCATCAACAGCCTTTAATAGTCCACTGCTGGACATAAGCCTCTCCTTAGAAAGGAGGTTTCGGCCTACTATACCACGCTGGCCTGACGGGTTGGTATAGGGTTTGTGTCAAGTTTTCCTTCTGTTTGAAGTGCTGTTGTCCTGCGTAATTTGCTCCCTTATTCGGCTATTACCACATCCACGGGATGAATAGGGGTGGTGACATTCCGTATTCTTAATCCGTCACCACACGGACGGACTATAGTGTAACAAGCGGCAATAATAAACGACACTTCACTTATTAATCAATTACTTATGTTATGATTATACTTATAAATTGTATACATATCTAGATTATTTGGCAAGAGTTCCGACTCTACGATATTATTCAATATAGGATGTGGTGTACGCAACGCAATGATCCACCAAATGAGCGGGACAGGAATTTATAACCATGGTTTGACAGTAGGATGTGACGTCACAGACGATTAATGGCAGGCTTGGCTGACAGTTTCGGCCCTATACTATCGTGGCGTGGCGTGGCGTTGGTTTGGCACGACTTGATATGGCTTGGCTCGGCTTCATGTAGCTTAGCTTGGCTTAATATGGCTTGGCACGGCGTGGCGTTACAATAGTGTACTACAGTCTCATTATGGGATAGTTAACTATCTATTTTAAAGGAGACTAACTATTACTCGCAGATTCGCTAGCGTGATTATTTCTTATTTGGTGTTTTTAAATGTGAAAATGACGAACTTCCATAAAACCCTGCGGTTTATCGCCCCAGCGGTTTAGGCTCTGATGAATAAGTCAGGGCCAGTAATTTTATATGCATAGGTTTATACTACACTTGTTAAGATATTTAATTTATGCTCATAAAGTACTAAAAGAACAGTGTTAAGATTTACTAATATTGTGCAACGAATTTGAATTTGTGACCGCTCATTTAAAATGACACTTGATGTGATATTTTTAGACCCTTTCTTGACCTTACATGGATGCAATCCTAGGTTTAGACTAAGATTGCATCTATGTAAGGCCAAAAAAAGGTCTTAATCCAAACTTTTTTTTTGTCCACTCATATACGTTTAGCTTTTGCATCGTTAAAAACAAATGTCTAAGGATTCGTGGTCTTGTTAGATCGTTGTACTTTCTAAATTCCGGACTATTACGCCATCTATGAGTTATTCATTGCATTTTTGAAACATGTTTCCCCACTATTTTAAAATGAGTTTGACAACTTTTTTAAAAGTAAATAATTTGTAATGTAGATGGCCCTATTAGTAGCATTCGTTCGCACGCCATCTACGAATTAGGAAGACAAACGTTGCCACAAAAGTACTAACTAGCCAATATAGAGCGCGCGACGAGTATTTAAAAAAATTAAGAACCAAAACAGAATTTAACGTTTATCTTATTTTATATTCATTTTTTTTTATTGACAATAGAGTTTTATTTCTATTTAAACAGTAACATTTTATTTCTAAGATTTTTCTAACTATACTTTAACAAAAATGTTTTATAGGTCAGTAACTTAAATGTTATGACCATAATTTACTTAATTTTTATTTCAAAGTTAACAAATACGATTAATTATAGTTACTAAAATATATGGCCCCTCCCACGCATATACGCCTGCAATTCAGAAGTCACAACTCAGGATTCTTTGAAGGAGGATTCAAATGGGCCATACTCTACCGGAGTGACCCCACAACCTCACAGAAAACCGGCTTTCGTTGTTTTACACCGAGTGACTGAGGTTACCAAAATCCCTCCTCTCCCTGATTCTAGGGGGGATATTTAAAGAGCGGCAACCCAGTTGTGACTCTTGATTAATAATATAATAATAATATACCTCACACATTTCACACACGGCCGTCTGATCCCAAACTAGGCAGAGCCTGTGCTATGGTGACCAGACTGCTGATAAACATACTTATATATTTTTAAATACATACATATTATAGATATAGATTGAAGGTTGTTTACCATCATGTGACCGGTCTGTTTGATTGTCTTGCTATACCATAAAGTGGCGTGAGGGACCTACGGACCCTATGTCGGAACGAAATTCCTTTTGCTTTTTGATAGACTTCTGTTATATATATAAAAGAAAAGTGTAGCGCGCCAACTGAAGTGTCGGAAAAAAATCTTGTTACACATTTTTTTGTCTTCCGTACCTACCCAGATTTTACAAAATTTATCTTAATTTTCAACTTTTATTTTATTTTTTATTTTTTGGAATTATTCGTTTATTTGTGCTGTAAGACGTTTCTTTTTAGCAAGATTCTAGGTCAACGGGAACTACCATACAGGTTTTAGACCTAAAACCTATAGGGTACTTCCGGTTGACCTAGAATTGTCTCATTTGGTTAAAAGCAAGGTCTTACAGCACAAGTAAAGAGAAAATTCCTTGACTTGACTCAGGACTTTGATTTTTATACACCTGATAGGGACCATATACCCCAGTATCTGGTATAAACTTCAACTTGCTAGGTCTTGCTGGAAAATCGGTGGTGACACACGGACAGACGGACAAGAAAGTGATATTACCTTTTGAACCATAAAAATGGACTGGAGTACCTATTACAATGATGTACATAGGGTTCTGTCGGTTTTACATTTAAAATTGGACGTTATTATATAGGGGAGAGTAAACAATATTGAACCGGGACTTAAATAGGACCTCTTTTGTATTTCTACCAAAATGGCACTATTTTTTTTCACTAGCGACACAGAAAGGAGCGCTAGCAGCGCCACTAATACCTAGGTACTGGGGGTGACAGGTGAGGCCATCTGTCATCCTAGCAGAGGCAGGCCGGGGTGACGGCGAGCGCGTTGCGAAGCGCGCTCGCTTCCAGGGAGCACAGGGAACATGGGGTTCCCACACGGGGGGGGGGGGGGGTCGTCTACTCGTCTGTAGATGACCCGAGGTATGTCGGGGCACCAGGGACTTCCTTTCTAGGGTATACCTGGTTCCCCGACTATTAGTACCCGGCGAAGGCGTGCGGTTTTAGTCGGTTCGAGTCCGACATGCCACCGACACGAGGGGATTTCCGCACGGAAAAAAAAAAAAAAAGGTACTACGCCATTTTGTAGCGGTTAAATATTGGTTACTCTCCCCTAATTATTACTTCTATAAAGCAGACCGTAGACAAAGTCAGCCATCTATAGACGTAGGCGTAATTGTTTGGGGAAAAAATTAAATAATAAAAACTAATTATTATAGACTTCATTTATTTCGATCATTTTAATCTTAATTTTTAATTAGATACAAAATATTTCATAACAATACATATTTATTATATGTAGGCATGATGACTAAATACTTAAAGTGAAAAAATAATAATGTAAAAAAGTACTTATTATAATTTTACTTCCAGACATAACTTATCAATTTGAATTTGAGTTCATTTTTTATTTATAAGTCGGTTCGATGTATTTAGTAAATATTTTTTTGCAAAATTTGAATTAAGCATTTGAAATCTGTCGATCTATTTTTCAAATTCAAATTAATAAAGTCTGATTTTTACGACTAATTACCAATTAAATTAGATAGTCGACCATTCTGGCGATTTTTTTACCAACATGGTCAAATTTCTAATTGTTGACAATTTTTCTTATAAAATATTTAATTTCTTTCTTTTCTTAATCGTAAACATATAGTGTTTTATAAACACGAGAGAAAAACCAAATATGGGTGAAAACCATTAATACTTTTAAGAAAAAAACTGGCAGTTAAAACTTATAGCCATTGAAACAAAATGATAAAAAAATATAAAAATATTGTTCGTATAAAATCACGTGAAAAAATTTAATATAACCTACCTATTTACACAGTTCTGATTACAATTTTAAATAACGTACTGATTGATTTTTCGATTTTCGTTTCAAATACAATTTCGAATAGAAAAATGGTAACCTTTTTTTTATTAGGAACTGGAGTATTTTTGTATTATCAATAGAAAAAGTAACGTATTTTTTTTTAAAAACATCGATGAAGTGTATGGCACGCATTCTCCACAGTTAGGCACCATTTTTTTTGTTTACGTTTTATTAAAAGTTACTTCTTTCCGTTGCAGTTACACTGTGGAGAATGTGTGTGTTTGGCTCCTACTATTTCTGAGAAGGAGAAGGGTGAAACATATTTAGGGTTTGTGGCGCTACCTGAAGTCTCGTAAGAGATGATTTGTGGTTTCGTAGTGTACGATACAATTTTAGGTTTAGTCGTATACGTGAAGTATTCTGGCTTGGTCGTATACGTAACAATTTCTGGTTTGGTCGTATATGTTACAATTTCTGGTTTAGTTGTGTAGGTTACAATTTTTGGTTTCGTTGTATATGTAAAATATTCTGGTTTAGTCGTGAAAGTTACAATTTCGGGTTTTGTCGTGTATGTTACGAATTTAGGTTCGGTTTGGAAGATTTTTTTCTCGGTAAAAGTAGCGCTAAAGGTCTTAGATAAAGGTGCTTTTAATTCGGTTCCAAAGTTCAATCCTGCATTTTCTCCTAACTCTGAACTTATTTTGCCGCCAGATGTGAATTTATTGAATTGGCTAAACTGTCCTGTTTTAATTCCTATTGGGTTATCGAGACCGAATTGAGTGGATCCTGCTTGTCCTTTAACACCGAAACCTTTGATGCCTGATATAGTTCCTCCTTTGATGCCTCCCTTGACTTGAGTGATGATTTTGGTCTTGGTGATTTGCGTGGTGGTGAACTGTGCGAAACGAACGCTCTCGATTAGGCCGATGGACCATTCGTACCATTCTACGTCGAACTTGTAGAAGGCAGCTAACTGATTACCGACTTGACAGCCTGTAAAAGTAAATATGTATGTAGTACACATAGATAAAACAGCGAAGAAAACTAGGAAGGAGATAATAAATTGACAGTTGGATTCGAATATAAAACAACGTGTTTTTATATAAAAGTAAAAAACTATTTAAATTTTTTAGCTTGAATTTGAGGTTTACATTTATATTTTTTGAGTTTAGAGTTTGTGTATATGGACCTATATACGTTTTTTGTAAAATTTGATTTTAGAATTTGAACTTTGTTGTTTTATTTTTACAACTAGAGACTAATGCGACTAGAGAAGAACAATGACAAGGTAAGGTACAAATGGGTGAATGTTTATTTACCTGATTCCCAGGAGTAAATACCCCTCAAAGTATATTGGCCGTCAGTCGTGCACGCGAGAGCACTACCGGTGTCCACCTGGAAACAAATCGCCATGTTTTGTTACTGCATTTAATGTTTATCTCTAAATGGATATGCCTTTGCCTATTCTAAGGAAGATTACATTACTACTTTAAGTGCTATGAGTGCTTAATTATTTTCTATTTCGATTTTCAATTATTGATTTCTTTAAAAAAAACTTAGTTACGCTGTTCAACTCATTTTGGAGAAGAGATGGTCTAGTAACTACACTGGCTGCTGGAGTGGTGCTCCCGACTTTCTTCACAATCCCCTACTGCATTCTTTTTTCTTCTGAACACCTAAAGTCGCTCTTAAAATTCCCTTTACAAGTCGGAGAGGAAGTGGTTTGTAATCTCTTCAAAAAATCATAAATTTGATCACATCACAGTATGATCCTGTGATTTGACACACATTATATGAACTTACGCATTCTATTCCCGTCCGGCATAGGCAGAAAGGTTGGGCCACAATTTTTAACGATTCTGATCCTGACACAGGAGCTATTTTCTAATTACTTGCACGTATACTTTACCATGACCTGCCATGATCCAGGTCTAGTATCAATCTTTATCAACAGCATTTAACAGTCAACTGCTGCACATAGGCCTCTCCTTAGAAAGAAGGTTTTGGCCTACTATACCACGCTGGCCAGACGGGTTGGTATAGGCTTTGCTTCGAGTTTTCCTTCTTTTTGCAGTGCTGTTGTCCTGCGCAGTTTGATCCATTAGTCGGCTCTTACGACACCCACGGGATGAATAGGGATGGTGAGATTTTGTATTCTTGATCACACCACGGAATATCAATCTTACCTTGCATATATTGTTGGTTGGGTTAGTAGGCTGTCCACACACGCAGCTGTCCTGATCATAGTTATCGAGGAGATGAGGGTAGTCTTCCTGGAGTTTGGTCTCGCATTCTTGAGGGTTGATCAGAGAGACATTCAGGCCGTGCATTATGCTGCCTTGGAGATGGGCTGAGGAAGATAAAGGAGCAATGAGTATTGATGGTTTATCTTGATTTGGGACAAATGGATATCGTTTGGGGCATTGGTATGGAATGTGTTATTGTTTGTTTGTTACGCTTTCACACCATAACTGCTTAAATACTTTTCATGAAATTTAAAAAAAATAAAGGCAATTTCTAAACTAGGAATATGGCCTGCATCGTGGGGGACTTTACTGAAAGGCATGAAATGGACACAACACCCAGACTCAGAACAACCATTTGTGGATCGAACCCACAACACTCAGCGCAGTATCAAGCGTCGAGATGATCACTTAAACCCCTACGCCATACGTGCAGTCATACACGTTATGATGTTTAGGTACAGTGATTGACACAGGTACGTTAAATTCAGAAACCTTATAAATCAACATAGGTTCTGTATCTTATCTTAAAAATAATGAGAGAAAACAAAAATGATATCAACGATCGAAACCGCGGTCTATTTATAAAACGGTGTTTAAGAAATAAATTATCCGTTGGATTATAATGTAAAAATATGCATATTGCATTAATTTAGGGTCAAAACTCTACAAATGGGCACGTGCCGTTCATCCGAGGTCTTCAACGCTACATCTATAAATTCCGTCTCCGAGTACATTAAAAATCAACTAAGTGACAATTGTTCCACTTAAATACATTTGTTCGAAATTTAAATACAAACGGTTCTATTATAATAATAATATAGAATAATATAATAATAAATAATTCTTAAAAGGTTAATAATTATGAAATTGTTGGCAAATATTGACATTTCGAATGCATCTATGAATTTATTTGTCTAAGACAAGGTTCTTTTGAGCATAACTTTTAAATGTTTAAAAACATTTGGTTTTATAACTTTTATTTATAATTAATATATGACATGTAATTTGAAATGTAAATCATTAATTATGTTAATTTAATGAATAGTGTTTTAGTATCTCGATAACTGCTACTTAGTCGATTTGAATCGATTTCTAATTTCGATTATAATTAAGAGATAAAATATACAGTTTTTCTATTATTAAACGTCGTTACGATGTCAAATAATAATTAAAAGGAATATAATGTTTAAAATGTTATTTCACATTTTAAAGAGACACTTTCATTTTAACCATCAAAATTAAAAGTATCAGAAGGTACAGAAAGCTTACTCACTGAAGACAAATAAATAGCGACTTTACACCTAGGTAAATAAGTGTGAATTAGGTTGAAGACACACCAACATTTCATGTTCGCAACAGATTTTCCTGTTAATAGTGCAAGCTATAATGAATCGATTGTTTTAGGAGCAAGAGTCTATTTTCTAAAGTTCGTGGATTTAAATCACAGTATTGCCATCCAAACTACAAACATATATAAAGGTACATTTCGATACGACAATTACAAGTAGGTTAAAATTGACTGCCAACATTTGTTAACCAACTTAGTGGTGATGAATTAAGAATAAGGAGTGTCACCACCCCTATTTATCCAGTCAGTGTTGTACGAGCCGACTAAGGGAGCAAACTACGCAGTACAACAACACTGCAAAGAGAAGGAAAACTTGACACAAACCCGTTTGGCCAGCATGGTATAGTAGGCCAAAACCACCTTTCTAAGGAGAGGCCTATGTCCAGCAGTGGACTATTTAAGGCTATTGATGAATGCTAAATAAGGTTTGTTAATATATCACTTGTGAAAATATGTAATAAATTTAAAATTAACGGTAAAAATCCTATAAATCTTGCTTACCCCTGGGGGCAGATGCTTGATAATAATACTTTGAATAAAACTCGTGACTAAAATTCTATAAAAAAATATAACTCACTATCTTAATTTATACAGTTATCCATGAATTAACAATTTTGTATAAATTAATATAATTTATGGAAGTTTATATCAATTTATTGGACGCCCAAGGCGACAGCAATACTTTAACTCTGAATAATTTATTACAAATCGAGAAATGAATAAAATTAAGACACCGTTTTTTAGAAATGCAAAAATTTGGAATAACAATTATAATAATGTGATTATGTGCAGCCGATTTTGATAATTTATGTCTATTTGCAAATTAGGACGTATCGATTTATATTATATCCAATTGTTAACTTTTACATAAGTTTTAAATGAAAATTAAATTTTCGATTGAAGTAATTAAATTACGTGCTATATTTTTGATATTTTCATAATACATAATAACTTTTTTTTTCTGTGCGGAAATCCCTTAGGATACGAACGGGCGGGCTATGTCGGCTATGTCGGACTCGAACCGACTAAAAACCGCACGCCGTCTCGGGTACCAGTAGCCGGGGAACCAGGTATACCCTAGAAAGGAAATCCCTGGTATCCCGACGTACCTCGGAGCATCCACGGCGGGTAGATGACCCCTTCCCGTGTGGAAACCCCCATGTTCCCTTGGTGCTCCCAAAAGGGCAGTGGCCTACCTATTACGACAGTAGCAATATTAGTATGTCTGGGCTATGTCTGAATGAAAGTATAATGTATTTGAATTATTAATTCCCTTTTATTAGTTTCACTTGTACCTTAATATTTCAAAAAATATTGACAGTCAATATTAACCAACTTCTAATTCTAATTATTGTCGTATCGAAAGGTAATTTTATAATTTAGGTATACGTAGTTTCTTCTTCTTTTACTTATACCAGCCACAACTTTCCGCCATCGTTCCACACGACAAAATATTCATCCTCATTACCTGGATGGCGCTCCACTACTGTGCGCTTTTCGAGACACTTTTTGCCCCGCACAACCAATCTGTGGAGCGGGTTATCGTCTGCGGTATTTCCGGACCGATACGACCTTCAAACCTTCAAGAAAAGAGCGTACTCCTTCCTAAAAGGCCGGCAACGCGTTTGTGACTCCTTTGTTGCAAACGTTAATGAGCGGTGATAGTCACTTTCCATCAGGTGACCCGTCTGCTCGTTTGAACATAATAAAAAGAAAAAAAAAACTTCGATCCCTAAATTATTTATCTATTGATGATTCTGCAAACGTCTAGGAGGATCGTAGATTTCTTAGTTAAAAGGTTAAATTTTAAGACAATGAGGCATTTAGGAGACTTGATGAATCAGAAAATGAAACCAGGAGGTAAAAAGTGTAGCTATTCTTCATAAATAAACGTTTCGACATGGGTGCGTATGATTTGTTACGACAATTCCAAAAGATTCAGCGTAGTAAATAGTCATAGCTTAAATAATAAATTATTAATCCAGTTTTATTCAGCCCTTTTTTTAACCGACTTCAAAAAAAGGAGGAGGTTCTCAATTCGACTGTATTTTTTTTTTTTTTTTTTTTTATGTTTGTTAGCTCAGAACTTTTGACTAGGTGAACCGGTTTTGATGATTCTTTTTTTATTTGAAAGCTGGTGCTTCCCGTGTGGTCCCATTTTAATTTGGTTTAGTTCTGATAATGGCATCCATGAGAAAACCATATAAGTCTTAAATTTGCATTTAGTATGTTCGCGACAAATAGACGAATAACTCAATTTCACGCAAACCGATTTCGATAATTCTTTTTTTTCTTGGAATGGATATACTTTAAGGGTACTTTGATGAGAGTTTGGTTAGATTCTGATGATGGGATCCACGACAAAGTAACGAAACTCTTCAATTCTTAGGAGCAAATTAACGATACTCGGCTGAATCTTTTATGGGCTATCTGGATATTTGAGTCACCTACAGTAACGTCGTTATGGTCAAGTAATTGTCGTCATCAACAGCATTTAATGAGCTACTGCTGGACATAGGCCTCTCCTTAGAAAAGAGGTTTTGGCCTACTATACCACGCTGGCCAGACGCGTTGGTATAGGGTTTATTTCAAGTTTTCCTTCTCTTTGCAGTGCTGTTGTCCTGCGTAGTTTGCTCCCTCACTAGACTCTTACGACACCCATGTGATTAAAAGGGGTGGTGACATTCTGTATTCTTAATCCGTCATCACAGGGTAGATTGCCTCTGTTGAGATAGGCGTTTCTTCCTGACTCCCTTTGTTTCATTCAAACGGCGCTGTCTCATTTGAGCAGCACGTTTATTAGGTCTACCCATATTCAGACAAATTAGTAAGTGTACTTCAGATTCACTAAAAAGCAAAAAATAAACAAAAATTTTTAACAAAAAAAACCGACTTCAAAAAACACTATTCCAAAACAAATTAATATGCACTAAAAAGGAAAAAAATAAATGCATATTCTTCTACAACTTAATAATCAACTTACTTTTTCTACTCTACTATATGTAGGTACGATCTATGTGTTAACCGCGCAAGAAGGTAGGTAGGTACCTACCCATTTCAAATCTAATTTAACATATACCTGTGAATAACAAACAACGATCAAAATATTTATTTGCGTTCTCCTAAGTAAAATAAAATAAATATAATGTAGTTACAATTATTGTTATTTTTGGAGTCGTGCCGTAATCAATTACGCACCTTATGATCATAGAGTTGTATGCAATCTCTGTTTACTAAAGTCTGTTTATTCTTTATAGTCTGTGGTACTGTGTATGCAGATTTTAAAGTTTTAAAATATTTCAAATACATAGATTTTATAGCCCGGACCTATAATTTTCTTAAGGTTATGCGATAAAATGTACTTATTAGTATCTAATAATTATTTACGCAATATAAAATTCCATTGATTTCTGCATAATGTCACTTGACGGCCTAAAAGTTGAAGCAATAAACTGCCACTAATTTTAATTAGTTTTACGTTCATTTTAGAGATTTGTTGATATTCAAACAATACGCACGATATGTTTAAATGACGGTGGTTGTTTGTTTTTAATAAAATAACAACTTTACACATCTAACACATGGTAGTTTGAGTCGAAACTAGGCAGAGCCTGTACTATGGTAACCAGACTGAAAATAAACATAATTACATATTCCTAAATGCAAACATTTTAGAGATAAATTACAGCTAGAGACACAACAAATGATCCTGCTCATCACAAAATATTTGTTCTGGGTGGGAATTGACCTCACGGC